CTTTGTTTTGTATGTATTTCTGTCAAAAGACAGCATTTTTAGTATGTATCATTGGACTCCCAGCCAACAGCCCTATAACTCATACCTGAACAAGCTTGTTTCCATAAGGAGCATCCCAGCCTTCTTACATTTAAGACACTAGCCAGCACTTCTGCACTCAGCTTGGGGCACTTAACAGTGAAGCCATGGTCACTAACAGAAAACATAAAAATGCAAAAAAACATGGCATTAAAGGGATACTTGTTTATCGAGTGGAAGCTGAAACAGGAAGGCATCCTGTGTTCAGCCTCAGCTGGGAATTTGCATCTTGGATGACTCAATTTTGTGCATGGCAAGTCCCAGGAGTATTGATTTGGGTTACAAGTAAATTTTATCAATAGGCAAATTAACAAATACAATAATCACAAATAATAAAGATCAACTATCATCTAGTAGTATAGTAATTACGAATCGGGCTGCTAATCTCACGGTCAGCAGTTCAAAACTACTAGCTGTCCTGTGGGAGAAAGATGAGGCTTCCTGCTCCCATAAAGATTTACAGCCTCGGACACCTGTATAGGGACGTTATGAGTCAGAACCGACTCCGTGGCACATAACAACAAGAACATCTTTGCTAATGGAATCCTTTTGTGGCACTGTGAAATAAAGCACTGGACCACAAGGTCGGTTTGAACCATAAGTCGGCAGTTTAAATTCACAGTCGCTCCTCAGAAACACTATCCACAGTCACTATGAGTTGGAACTGACTCAACAGCATTTAACAACAACAATCATTGCTAAGTTTTTCTGTAGAATAAATTTGTCTGTAGAATAATCAACATACAGGGTAAGTTCCATTGAAATGTTGTGACTGCCCACATAAGAGCATCTTGATCTTAAGTTGACGAAATTTGAAAACCAGATAGGAGTCATAAGGAAAGTAGCAGTTATTTCAGAAATTGGAAGACTCTCCAGATAACAGTGCAAGTAAACGACTGTTAATGAGTTTTCTGCCAGGCTGTAAATTAATACTACAGGTCTACGTGCTTCCCTCTAGTTTTCTTTGACAACAGAGACTATAATTTTATGCAGTTCACCTACTTTCCTGCAGGGCAGCATGCGTCTTCCATGGTGCATAAATGTGTCTCTCTCTTTTATGCTGCAGCTGGACTGCTTACTAATGATCCCCGTGTCAGAGAACGGAAGAAGCCAGGCCAGGAGGGAGCCCGCAGAAAGTTCACATGGAAGAAGCGCTGAGTATTTTCTTCGCAGGAGAGGAGAGGAAAAGCTGCCTGCGTGATCTACCACGTGGCTGTGACACACAGCACCAGACAGCTTTTTTGAGTTGTGAGATGATTTATTTTTACATGCTGCTTTGTAAAGATTACCTAAATAAAAAATTGGTTTTGCTTCTTTCTGCTATTTTTGTAACCTTTACAAAAGATATATAACAGGGGGCATCAAAAAGTTTGTGGGAAAAAATTCCACTATAATTCAATTCCCTTTTCCACAAACTTGTAAGCCCCCTCGTATTTTAGAAACATAATTCATAGATTGTTGGCATAATTGACTTAAAAGGAACGTTAGGCAAAATCTAATCAGGGTGGCTGCAGCCAAGGAAGACAGGTAGGGAATGCTCCAGTGAGAAGGGAGGGGGATCTCACGAAGGAAACATTCATATACCAAACACACAGCTTTCGAACTATTATAAGATATAGTGTTTCAATCTCCCGAACTCGCATTTTTGAAAAATCACGATGCTAAGGAAAAAACGGGCATCTTAAGACTCACCCGCAGGACGGTAGGTCCGTTCTGGCGATTACCCCGCCCCTGCAGAGTTTAGAAGGTGGGACTAAAGCCAGCCCATTCAGAAAGCAGCGTTTCCAGGGGAAAAAAAAAAAAAAAACACCTAAACATAGCCGCAAGAAGCAACACAACTCTCCCCCAAAATCTCCCTGCCCCGGCTTAAGATCTGAGCATAATCATCAGTCAGGACAGTTTACCCATGGCACAGAGATAGGGAGAGAGGCTGCGACATTTGACGTCATCCGCCATCCCAAATCTGAAGCCTTGTATCTGAGCAGCCTT